GCCAGATTAGAGTCCCTGATTTGAACTGTTGCTCATCCTTCCAACAGCCACAGCCACTATAGCTTCTTTTTATAGTAGCGGTAGGGAACATTTCTCAGCTCAAGAGCCATATTGTGTTGTGGGCAACATTCTAAGGGCCATATGTCAGTGGTGGGGGGGAAAGGGGGGAAAGGAAGGACCTACTGACAAGAGAGCTTGGGGATCCACATTTGCACCCAGAATCTACCTTCCTTGGATGCCCGTGCAAGAATGCCACTTAGTGGTTTTTATTCACAATGAAGCGGTAGTATAAAATTGTTGTGAAATAAAAGTAAATAAATAATGGGCAAAAATAGAAACTGTTTGCAGAAGGTTGGTGACAGCACAAGAAAGCCTGGACATTTCTCGTGAGGTAAAATGGGCATTTATTGGGAGCTAAAATGGGGCGTTTCCTACCCTTCCGGTGAACCATCTTCCTGGTCCCCATGGCAGGCACCCGCTCCACATTGCCATGTTACTCTTATGCCAGGAAGACCCAGTGTGTGATCCTAGCTCTTCCCTGAGGTGCTAATTTAAATCCAAGCTGAGATGTACATGGAGAAGAGGAGCTCCTGTTCTTTATGCTGCATCTCTTTTACTTTGCTGAGAATCACCCTGCTTTAGCCAGACAATACAGATGAACCACTATGAAGGCTTCCTGACCATGGTCCCCTCCTTTTCTTGACTGCAGCCAAGGAAGGGCTATTAAAATAAATAGTGGTGTTTCTGCACAGGATGGACTGCAGGGTTTTTATATATATATTTTTCTGGCTCAACTCCTTCTTCCCTAGAGCAAGCTGGGAGTGTCATGGTGACCCTCACAGCTGTGCAGGGTTCTCAGTGAGATGGGTTATCCCACACCGCTAGCAAATTTGTTGCATCATCACCCCTACTTGGGGAATTGCTCCTGCTCCCTCCTGCCAAGCAATAAATACTCAGTGTAAATGTGGAAAGAAACACGCACATAAAAATTGCGCCTCCCTTCCATTTAATAATAATCAGCATTTTATACAGTGCTTGAAGCTACACAATATCTTGTGATCCTTGCAGGAACCAAGTATTATTATATGGTTGGTGTTATTATTTTGATATTGCAGAGGAAGGTTTGAGGCTGAGACAGAGTGGGGTGAACAAGGTGACTTCATGGCAAGAGACTAATTTTACACCAGGGATTTCCTGATTTGTAGTTTAGAAGTAACTGAATCTTACTTCAGCACTAGTTATAGGACCAGGGCTCCCCCCGCCCAGCCAGAACTCACCAGAACTCAGTTCTGGAACCTCTCAGATGGGCTCTATTGCCATTCTAAGAGAATGAGGGAGGTGTTCATGGTTCATGTGCCTTGCGCACACATATTTCCACCTGGCTTCTCCTTCCCTGGCACAGGAAGATTTTGCTTCTGAATTCCCTTAACCACAGTTTAGTGTGTCACCAAACCAACACTGGTAGTTAATATGTGTGTCGCTCTCTGGGTTCATAGTGTGGCTATCCTTACATTCTCCACACTTCAGTTTCTCCAAGGACGTCTTTATCTATTTTATTACATTGTTTTTAATCCTGACCTTCATCCAAGAGGGTCACGGTGACATTCCCCACCACCACCACTCCTTCCTTCTGCTATAAGCAGCACTTTAAAAACAGCAAATAGAATGAGTTTTGGAAATCCCTGGTGTAAAATTAGTCTCTTGCCATGAAGTCACCTTGTGAACATCCACTGTAGCCATAAATTCAGTGGGTGGACAAAGATAGGCCTCTCGCATTTCTTCATTCTAAGTTTCCCTGTGTTAAAGTAGGAATCACAATCCTTGACAGAGTCGTTGTGAGGATAGATAACAAAAACATTGTGAAAAATATGCTCCACAACCATCCTCAACTACACATTATGCAGACTTCCAAGATTCTTCCCTTCAGGTATGTGGACATGGCGGTGCTGGTGGTTGTTTTGCATTGTGAGCTCCAAGCAGATAAACAGATGGTCTGGCTTTGGGACAAGGCAGCTTCCTTTGTTATTCTCCTATACCCCACCTACCCTTTCCCCTGTCAAACCACAAATGGGCTATAATAAGATTTCTGAAGCATCTAATCTCCCCCTGCCACTCCCCTCCCCCACTTTGGTGAGTGGCCAACTGGGGCCCAACTGGTCCGTGTATCTCATGGGACGGCTTTGCCAAGCGTCTTGGCAGCATCAGGCATCATAAAGGATCTATTTGCTTCCCTTGGGACAATTCAGCAAAAGTATCCATTTGCAGAGTTTCAGTCATGCCTGGATTTGATGCTGGACTTTTACAAATGCAATAACGTGCACAAGCATCCTCTGAGGCTGGAAGGCAAATTGACCACTGAGGGTGTATCTTTTTCTTCTGAAAGCTCCAGGGACAAAGCAGAGTACTGGAACGTACAAGCATGTAGCCAGCAAGATGCTGGACTCACTCCACACAGAGATCTGCGTCGATGGGAATATGTAATTAGCAAATGCTTATCCCTCAAACGTCAGAATAAAATAAACGAATGATTTGAATTGCTGGAAAACTGCTGGATAAATCCCCTGTGTACAAACACTGTCTTGAAATGTGACCATTTGCCATAGCATGAAGTTCAGTTGTCAAATGCTAGTGGGATAAATGATAGGCTCCCCAAATCATGACAGATGTGTGATCATCTCCAAAAGCAGTGGCGCCATGTCTCCTCTTCCTTTCTCCCTCCCGTAATATTTTGTACTGGAATCATGATACATGGTATCTCACCCACCCACACCAACTATGCATTTTTTCACCCTACATGTTTTAGTGCAGGCTTCCTCAACCTCGGCCCTCCAGATGTTTTGAGACTACAATTCCCACCATCCCTCACCACTGGTCCTGCTAGCTAGGGATCATGGGAGTTGTAGGCCAAAAAACATCTGGAGGGCTGAGGTTGAGGAAGCCTGTTTTAGTGGAACATCCTATTCCATGCTTTCCTGGGTGCAAAAGTTTCTATGTCATCCATGCAAAAGAACCCATGCAGTCTTGAACTGGGAGGAGACATTGGGGTGTTAAGCTTTGAACCTCTGCCTATGCTGAAGCCACATGTGTGTAAACATATGCAAATATTAGAAGACATCAATAAGCCTCCTGTGACCTTATTCCGAAGGGGACCAAGCCCAAGAAAGTGCTGTACCCCTGAAATTTCTTGCCGCTTAAGAGAATCAAGGTGTGCACATAACAGCTTAGTAAGGCAAAAATGTATGACCTGACATTGTGTTGAGGGTTTGCAACTCCTACACCACTTCACTGGCTGCACCATGAAAAATCTTAAGATGATGACCACATAGCAAGCAATTTGTCCTGTGAAATGCTAAGGGGAAGAGTGGAGGAAGAGATATTTAAACTGTGGTTGTGTGGTGAATGTAACTTGCAGATCCTGTCTTAGATTACCATATAAATAAGAACAAACCAGTCCATTAAAAGCAGCATTAACGTAACCAAAGAATATTAGTTTAAACTACTTTAAAACATTTGTTGGAAAAGCTATTACACTGCCACTTCAAGTCTAGTACAATTATGGTATTGCAGGAGTCCCTTAAGAGGATATTTCACAGCTAGGGCACCATAACAGAGAGACTGCCTGGGCAGCCAGTGATTTAAGTAGCTGAAAAGAAAGCACGGCAGCAGAGATCCTTTGGATATTCTTAGACTGTAGAGCAGCTCACATTGGAGAAAAGGTTCTCTTGAGTACTGGCTGCAGAAGTTTTAATCTATTAGAGTGGCTTTCAATTTTGTTTTACTCAGATATGGTTGGCATCTGTCTATCTCGGGAGACAGTGGAATAGTGCGCTTTCGGAGACAAAGTCACACTGTTGATGAGTAGATCCATTGAAATCAATGAACATTCGGTCCATATAGTTAAATGGGTCTGCTCTGAGTAACACTCAGTTGAATACCACCTTTAGGATTTCAGTGGATTTTCCTGGTGGTGTTGATTGCATTAATTAAAAGGTATTTAGATACAAATATTTGATCATATTCCCTTTGTGATTCACAAGAAAGAATAAAACAACATAGTAACTACAAACAGAATATAATACAGCAGAAAGGCCACAAGTTCACAAAATGCGCATAAAACAGCAATTTTAAATTTGTATTTTAAAAGTGTTTGGGGGGGGAATGGTTGTGCCTGGCAAAAAAATATTAAAAAGGCATCAGGTGAACCTATTTAGAGATAGTATTGTGTTATTGGGGAGCCATCAATAAGAAGGCCCTCTCACTCGTGGCCACTTGCCTCAACCCAGATGATGGAGGCACCTGAACGAGGCCCTTCTCTGAATAGCTTAATATAATTTGGAAACATCATCCCGAAAATTGTTTCAGAAGGGGGGGAAATATACATCTCTCTTTTTCTACAATGATGACTGAGTGGCCCGATTTGGCAGTGCTAATCAGGAACTGCTTACACATGTTTCCAGATGCTGATTAAAGCTGCAAGAGATGAACTACTCAGGAGCCTATAAACCTAAAGTGCTGGCTTGGCAGATGCCTCAGTATTCAAATTAAGACCTGTGCTACAAATCTTGCAAATGCCTTGGCCACAATATTTTGGAAATAATCTATGTAGTGTCTAATTGGGCTGATCATTAGGCCCATTTGAGGGTAAAATACATAAATGCCAAAGCTGGGATTCTTCGCACTATGCCAGCAGAAATGTCAAGAGAGCTGTTTCCCAATGCTTCAGTCAACGTGAAATGTCAGGAAATAGGTTGTTTTGACAGTACACAGGAAAATTTTTGACAGCACCCTGTTCCATTACATCAGGGGTGGCTAACCCATTTCATGGCTTTATGCTAATGTGGGCATGGTCACAGCTAAACATTTGGTGTGATCAAGCTGGAAAGCGGATGTTGCCAAAACAGAAAATAAATACCACATGCCGAACCATAGAATCATAGAACTGTAGAGTTGGAAGGGACCACGATGATCATCTAGTCCAGCCCCTGCAATGCAGGAATCTTTTGCTTATGTGGGGCTCAAACCCACAACCCTGAGATTAAGAGTCTCATGCTTTGCGAACTGAGCTATGTATCAGAGCACATAGATAACACTGCATGGCTAGGAAGAACCAGTATGGACCCTCCCCCAATTTCATCAAGTTATGTTTTCCCTAAGACAAGCCCCCTGTGAAGTGTTTTGTTCACCCTCACAAGACCATCAATTCATGCGCGTTACAAAGTACTCCCACTGCATGCTTTTATTACTAAGTGGTGAAGTGCTGGCTGCAATGCTTGTCCCACTATGATGCCATTGGTAGCACTCAGGACAAATTGCTGAAGATCATTGGTCTTCAGTTGCTGACAGCATTGCAGGCAACTACTAATATTACTAATAACACTACCATTTTAACAACATGGACCTAAAAACTTGGGGAAAGGGAAGTGAGTTATCTTGAATTGTTCTGCTGTTGTAGAGAGGGGTCTTGAATATGTTATGACAGCTTTTGGAAAGGTGGAAACAGCTGTGGAATAACCACCAAATAATAGGCGGCATAATTTTCCCAGCATAAGCCCCCACTCGGACAAGTGATGGCCCAGGAAATAGATAGGCACCACATGTTCCCAGATGTGTACCTCAGGATCTCTTGCAACCATGTGCATTGCTTTACTTTCTAAGACTAGAGATTCAATAAATGCCTTTAACAATTGGTAAGTGGCCAGCCTCTCTTTTAGAGCAAGACAGAGATCTACATTATAATTGTACTTATTCAAGTAATGTTAATAATTGTACTTATCCAAAATATTTGGTTCCTGTTTTAATCTTTCTGTTGACTGTATGCCCAAGGACCGCTTAGAGATGGAATCATTTTAGACTTCTTTTTGAAGTAGTTTATCTTTTTGGAACCATTCTTGAAAAGGAAAGGAAAATCACTGTGATAAGAAGCACAGTTGTATTCAAAGGTAAAAAAAAAAATCTGCTACAAGCTGGCCTTCTTAAGATTTTTCAAAGCAAAGTGTCCATCTGTTACCAGACAAATAACTTGTCATAGAGTGGCAGGGTGGATTTAGAGGCAATGTAATTCTGCATTTAATTTTGCAAGTTATTAAATTTTGACTTAAGTGGAATGGGTGGAAAAGACAGTAATTTATACAACACGTACATTGAATCAGCTGGGTCTGCTTCTCATTCAGCTGTAGAAACTCAAATGGCTATAACCAAACAATCTCAGCGACAAACAAGATGGTGACAAAGCCCTCTGAAACAACCTCACTACACAAAAGCCAGCGTGGTTTAGTGGTTGGAGTGTTAGACTAGGACCTGGGAGCTCAAGGTCCAAATTCCACTAAACCACTACTCATTGGGTGATCTTGGGCCAATCGCAGTAGTGATATGGCAGCAATGTTCACCTGACCTCCTGACCACTGAGTCACCATTGCTTACCATGAAGAAAAAGAGGATGAAGTAGGAGTGGCAGGGAGGCCACTGTGGTGCAAACACACTGGCGGGAGCACTGCAATGGCTCCAATGATGTGTTTACACTATGCTGAGCTCCCTGCTGCCTCATCCTCTCCTTCCCAGTAAGGAGAAGGAGGTTCACTGTCTCTTTGCTTAACCTACTTCACAGTACTATTGTGAGAATAAAATGGAGGAGAAAGATGTATGCCACCTTGATGTTCTTGAGGGAAAGTTGGCATATAAACTCAATAATAAAATAAAATGTTTGAAGAGGCACCATACCAAAGTTTCTTGTCTAAGGCAGAAGTCTGGTCTTTCTTGTGGATTTTTGGCCGGCCTGCCAAAAAAATAGTAATCTGTAAACTCAGACAGAATCACCCGCATGCAAGTTCTCAGATGTGTGTGTGAGAGAGATTGGGAGACAGAAATGAAGGGCATATTCAGGGTTGTTTACAGCCATGTTCAAAAGAATTAAAATTTGAGCACATTATTCTAAACATAAGGACTAGAAACTTCAACTTTGTCCTTTTGTTAGAGAGGGAGGGGGAGAGAGAGAGAGAGAGAGAGAGAGAGAGAGAGCGCGCCAGGATTACCCAGAAACTGAATTTTATACACAGTGCCATGTTCTATCTGCACTTTTTCCATGCTGCAGCAGAATCATGGTGCATTGTTGGAAAACCAGTGTGTGATGGGCTGCTCTGGTTGTAGATTTAGCAGCAAAGCAGCAGGGTTACCCCTTCCAGCTGGATCTAGTCTTCGGGTTTCAGCTGCTAAGAAACAGAGAAAGGAAATGGAGACCAGATGAGCAATCTCCCCCATGCCTCCTTTTCTCTCTCTCCCTGAGATGATACATGAAAATACCAAGTGAGTCGGTCAGGCTGCTTTAAATCATAGCACGTTAAAAAAAAAACCCTAAAAAACTAAAAAAGAAAACGCTTGCTGTGAACAGCCCAAGTATGAAAAATGATTTGGCCTGCCCCCAGCAGATTTAGAGGCAAAACATACACCATCAGCAGCCTCATGTGATGTATCTGTTGCTGGGCTATGTGACCAAGCTGCAAGTTTCTGTTTTGTGTGTGTGTGCGTGTAAAATCTTCAACTGTTTTCCCATCTGAAAAAACTTCTTGCACATCCAAAATTCACATGCCAGGGAGAATGCTAACCTAGCCTATTATTGTCAAGCAACTGTCTTGTTGTCTGTGGCTGCAACTCCCCTCCTGCACAGCAACAGCAGACTTTTGTGTTGGTGTATGCATGGTGTGCATGGGGTGTGTGGGGTGGTTATTAGAGGTGTGTAAAATCGGTCCCTTTATTTTTACAGATACTTCTGCCCTCCTATATACTGGTTGGCATTGCAAAAACAGATAGATGAATTTTAAGCGTGTTGTGGGCGAATGTTATCTGGTCCTTTTTGCTGTGTTGCTGTGTTGCTGCACTGCGGCCAAGGTTTGTCTTAGCATGCTTTCAGGAGTCATGGATAAGTTCTGCACCAGACAATTGAGGAGATTTCACCCCTCCCATATCCAAGAATCTCCTGAGGAGTCTGCTGATTCTCCAGAGAGGAGGAGGCGTGTTCTGTTGTCTACTTATTCCGCTCCAGCACCAAATCAGTCAGTCAGTCAGTGTCGGGGAGAGAGAGAGAGACTGAGTGTTAGAGATCGTGTGTAGAGATAAGGTTGCTGCTAAGAGCAGCTGCAGACACTCAGTGCAGTGCAGCATTCATTTATGCTTAGACCTATTTAGCTCTGTATATAGTTATATAATAGTTGTAGTTATAGAATAAAGAAGATATTCTACAGAGCTGCTCTCCGAGTTGTTTATATACTCTGCTAGAGTCTGCTATACTCTGCTGTGCGACGACTGTCTTCTTGTTGGAAGTAAATCCGGTGCTCACAACTCTAAGCTGTGAGTCCACAGCACTTTGACCTGTTCCTGTGCAGAAGGTGGTCTCTGGAAGTGCTACCCAGCTCGCCTAGCCTAGTTGGGGCTGAAGTGGATGAGTCCAGTTGGTGGCACTGGCTCAAGGGCGATGCTGACAACAATAGGACCTACATGTCTATGACTCACTTTCGCCTTTTTGCCACATTCACATATAGCAATGGGCACAACCACATTCCCAACAATTAATTCCTGTCTTGCTCTGAAATAGTTTGCAGTGCAGATAATGGAAGCAAAGTTATCCTCACAATACTTTCTCTGTATCCATTTCCCCTCCAACTCACACATATTCTGCCCTAGACACTAGCTGAATGACATTTGCATGCTATCACACGCATATGACAATCGCATGCAGACAATCTAACAAGTGACTGTGCCGCTTTGATAGTTTTGCTTATGCTTTTCTCTGTCCCTAAGCCCAGGGCACTGATTCTTTTTAACCTGTGAAGTTGGGGTGCTTATAGGCATTCCATAGCACCACACAGGGTGAGCCTATGGCTAAAGAGGTATCATTTCAAATACTGAAACCAGAGCTCTTGCACTAGAGCAGAGCTGTCCAGCTCAACCACAGTCTGGCTGGGAGTCAGGATTTAACCTGGGGTGTTCTGCATGGAAAGCATTTCATGGTCCTCCACTATGATATAGCCTTTCCACATTGTGTTTTGAACACTTGAAAAGTGCCACAGAAATGGTCTGTGTTATGTATGGAGAAGCACTCGCCACTCAACACAGGCAGTCCAAATCTCTAGATAAGGATGGATGGATGGATGGACAGATGATAGATAGCTAGATAGATAGATAGATAGAGGATAGATGATATAGATAGATAGATAGATGATAGATAGATAGATATAGATAGATAGATAGATAAAGTGCATTATCAAGTCAGCATCTGGCTTTAGAAGAAGATGCCATTCCCCCAGCATCATAAATGTGGTCACTTTCTGTATTGGGTTGACCCTCGGCTTCAGGGAGTGGTTCTGCATAGTCCTGAAATGAAGAAATGTACATCAAATTGGGGATGGTCCCGCCAATTAGCTTGCTCTCAGACTTTTTGCTGCCAGCTACACTTTCTGCTTTGGATAAAGAGAGGGCTTTGTTTCCTAAGCTTGTCATACGTCTGCTTTATACAAGCACTGGATTCCGTTTACTGCGAATGATGTAGCAAAGTTCTAAAATGACAAGGAATGGTAACTTGGCCGCAGGTACCTTTCTGTCCCAAGGGAGCCTGCAAGGTTCACTCTTTGTTGGTGATCTTTCCTGGTTACACTGTTGCTATGGTTGTAATGATATCACCCCAAACCAGCAAGGAAGATCTGCCCACACAATGAAGCAACAGATGCTGCGGGCCACTGATGCAGCTATGCATCTGCAACAATGTGCAGATTATATGCATTGACTCCCAAAGAGATGGCTGAATGAATCTCATTATGAATTAGGCATCCTTCGCCAGGCAGTCAGAGCACTTGACTGAACACACGGAGTGCCTTATATTGAACCAAAGGCACTTTCCGACCTAACCCAACAGCTCTTCAATATGTCAACAGTGATAATCAAAACCCTGGGACTGAACCTGAGCGTTTCTACTTGCAGCCGACTGAGCACGGGTAGAAACATACAAATCTGTCTATTTTGCTTTGTCCCAGTTTATCATTTTTCCACCCTTAATTTCAGTTGTTTGCATCACTGCTGCCACCCCCCCAAC